CGTCTTGATTGTTCTTTTCCAAGATGAGAATTAATTGAAGCATAACGTGGTGTACCTGTAAGACCTTTGCCTTCACGATAGATAATATGTCGTCGTGTTTTAGAATCAATATATCGTTTTGAAAGACCAAAATCGATTAGATATAAACGATGAGACCAAGCAAAAACTCCCATTAAGAAATTGTCAGGTTTTAAACTAAATTTTATTTTATTTAAAATCAAGAAGACATATTTGAATATTAACTTACTCACGATGAAGAAATGTACGTGAATGAATATGTTGTAAACTAAATTAAATAAATTTCTTTATAAAAATATAAAATTAAATGAAAAATCTACCGTTTAAGCATTTGTTCAGCAAGTAAAAGAATAGTTTTAAGTGAAAATGATCGACGACAATAACATAAAAGATCTTCAATACTTGGACCTAATTTTTCCATAACTAATACATTATAATCATCAACTTCGCCCTACCTTAAAAATATAATTATGATCTCAAATTTTTGAATTCTATCAAATCTTTTGTTTTATCTACACTAACCAAAATATTTTTGGAATACCAATTCCAGAAATAAGTTTTAAAACTCGTGCTTCATAAGCTAATTGTGGATATTGAAGAGAATGAGATTCAAATTTAATAGCAACTTGTTCATGTGTATGAATATCATCTGCTTCATATATATGTCCAAATGAACCTGAGCCAATCATTGTTGTTATACGATATCGATTTATAATCAATAGAGGTACTTGAGGTTCATCATTTATTGACGTTATTGCACGTGAAGCACGTACTATTTTACCTGATGATTGATGAGTAATAATGGGTGGTGCTGTACCTTCAGCTCGAGACATTATCAAACAAACTGATCTTATTCAATCAATTCATTATATGTAGAGAGATGAAAACACAAACAATAACGCAAAATAAAAGAAAAGTAACGCGCTCAATTAAATAGATATTATTTATTTGTATTATAATTTAGTAATAATAAATCTTAGTCTAGATATGTCTTTCTGAGAAAGAAGAAAATAGATTAACACAATTCATCCAATACTTAAAATTCATGACCAAATTAGTTTTGCATTTAATAAAATCTGTTCGAATGTCAATCATTCTCTTTTACAAATAAGATATTTATTTTGTACTTTTTTATAAACAGAAGAGAATAGACAAAAGAAAAGAAAATCTGATAGTTTCGATGTACTAAATGAATGTGAAAATATAAAAAAATATATCTTCATAGTCTGAATAATAAAACCAAAATGACGTGTGATTTCTTGATTCTTTTCAACTTCAATTTCTGCCATTGAAATAAATGTATGGTATATTGAAGTTACACTGTTCGACAAAGTTATTTTTCATATGTTAATCAAAAAAGTATTTATTAATTGACTATTCTTCTGCTATAACGTATGATTGAAAGTAAATTTCTCCCTAATACATGAGTATTTATTTAATAACGAACAATATGCACAAATTACTACAAAATAAATTGATGTATAATAAAACCACTACTAGTGAACACTTCTTAGTGTGAATGGTCTTGGGTCTGATGGATTGGTTTTCTTTTTTTGACAATGCCTCTTTGCAATGTGAACACCTGCTTATTTTGAACAGTGAATGCTTTTTTTGCAATCACTATAGCTATTATAAGCTCTCTAATGTGAACATACGTCCAATGTTTTTTTTGGTTTCTTTCTACTATCTACCAACAATCATTTTTGAGAAAAATAAAACAAAATCTTGTGTTGTAATTGAAAAATATTTAAATTTAAATCAATAAGTCGAAAATAGATGAATAAGAGAATAAATCACTAGACCTTTATTTAAGATTAATCTATCTGCAGAAATCCTGGAAGCTGTTCTTCATTTTCACAGCAAACCAAACGCTATCTCTCTAAACTGAACATCTCCCTATACTAAACATTTTTTAACGATTCGCATGATGTTCAGAATTGAGAGATTTTACTGTGGATTGTTTTGAATTTCCTTCATTTCGATTTGATTTGATTGGCTGTAATTCCAAAAATATGTAAAATTTTTACAAACTTTGAATTCTAATTTTAACAAAAAGTTCAAATGACGATAGACATGAAAAAATGTTCTGCAGGATATTAAGAGGTCGCTCTATCAGATCGTAAATGAAAAGAAGTCACGCAAAAACTTTTCGTGACTAAATGTCATCATCTCTGATATCGATAATGGTAAAATATACGCTAACAATATCTGTAGTGCGCTTATAAAGTTGATTAAAGATGCAAATATATAAGTGAACACTGGCAAAATCATGATGAATCTTGAACTATATAACGAGTTTTCCATCCATCATTAATACTCTGCTTTTCACTCAATAATAACTTTATCTGTATCATCTCCTACTAGAAATGCGCCAATTTCTATTTTTAAAATTTGTCGGAATTGAAATTGATTAGAATTGATTATTATACAATTACTAATTTTGCATATATTCACACAAATTAATAATTTGATTTCTATTAATTCCTGCTCCAGTTCTAAACCAACAATCAGAACTGGAATTGGTGCATCCCTATCTCTTGCTGCATTTATATTTATTAGAAAAAAAATCAGTTTCGATCATACATTTTAATAGTAGAATAGTATGTGAATAAATTATTTATTGGTTCTCATATTAAAGTTAACTTGAGGGTGTGGGTGTGGGTGTGATTAAAGAGGGAAATGACACCCACCCACACCCTCAAGTTTGACAAGAAATGATCGAGAAATAACGAAGATCAAGAAGTCTTTGCACTGAAAACTTTCGCTAAGCAGAAAACCTTAATATCCAATGTGATATCAATAAGTCCAGCTGGGCTCGAGAAATTTAGTTGAAAATTTCAGTAATAACTGCTAATTAGCTCTTGGGTTTATGTAGTATTTTCAGACCTATAGTTCGAAGTAGACTTTAGATAGAGCTTGCTACTTAGTTAAGTCTCGATGTTGAGGCGTAAGCTTTGAGCCCAAGAAACTATGCATATCAGGCTACATTTTCCACTAAGTAGTGTTGCAATATATTGCAGGAGTACAGAATGGTGAACGAAAATTTTCTGAGACCACTTTTTCTTTCAATTTTTTCAGCCAAGAAATAATAGTATAGCTACGTAATAGATGCTTCTTGATTATCCAGGTCTCCACTTCAAAACCATGTTCTTGACATTAAAAGGGTTCCGTTTCATTGGATTAACGAAGCTCACACGATTACAGCGCTGTTCTGACGTATAAAAGAGTGTCTTCTAGAAATCAACCCCTGTCAAGAAAGTCCTGGCACAATATACTCGCTCATTTTCCAATCACTGAAAAGCAACTAGTGACAGTCAAAAGCAGTTAGTAAAACTCTGAATTTTGTGCTCTTTCCAAATATGAACTCAGAATTTTTTTGGCTATTTTTACTTTACAGCAATGAGGGAATCATTGAAAGACCTAAAAAATTAGTTTGGGCGAAATGGTTGGACCGAAGTTTCTTGCCACAATGTTTGTTTGTTTTTAGTCTGCTTGAAAGTATTTCAGACGAGCGAAAAACTATGGATTATAATCAAAATCTTAAGCGCTTTCCGAATATGTGCTCAAAAATTGTGCATCTTTTTTCGTTCGAAAGAAGTAAGGGAATCTTTGAAAGGCATACAAATTGAAATGGGACAGCGAGCAAGCAGGTTTTTGTTAACTTCCTCATAAGTCCGTTTGTGAAGGTACTCAAAATTATCAGCATCGGTGATTTTGTAGAGCGAACACTTCTTTACAACATGTGATATCATACTAAACTATAGTTTAAAGTGATAGCAACCTTCTTAAGAACTAATTTCTACGTAAAACGCGTTTTCTTCAAAATATCGATTTTTCCAAAAATGAAGGTGATATACAAAAATAAAAATTTAGATGCCTTTTTGGAAGACAAAAAGAAAGTCAAATGGTGCGTTTTGTAGAGTCAATTTTGCTCTATAAGCTCATATATCAACAAATGTTTCCAACTTTTAGTTTCAGATCTCAATAGTGAGTATTTACGAAAAGTTTTTTCATACAAACTAATATTTAGGTATTTCAAAGATTCCCTCACCACTGTCGAAAAATAATAGACACAAAATGTCTGGGTCCATATTTGGAAAGAGCTCAAAATTCTGAGTTTTACTAATTGCTTTTGACTGTCACTAGTTGCTTTTCAGTGATTGGAAAATGAGCGAGTATATTGTGCCAAGATTTTCTTGACAGGAGTTAGTTGTAAAGTTACTAGTATATAATAATCCTGATTACGTAATTATGCTGCCCGTTGTTTGTTGAAAAACTGAATGAAAAGTCGCCTCAGAAAAAATTTGAACTGAACATAGCTGCACAGATGGGCTTTCAAGTGAGGGATTGCACAAAAATAAGTTAAAAAATGAAATAAATATAATATTCATAAGATGA